TTGGAATATACCCCAATAAAATTAGGACTGAGACACAAATGGTGATTTGTACACCAATGTTCATAGCAGCATTATTCGCCATCACAAGAACACATCACAAGAAACAGCCCAAATGTCCAACCCAATCAAATGGATTGCAAAATTGTGGTACTTTCACAGAATGGAATAGTACGCAGCACTCAGAAGCAATGATTTAGAAAATTATTACCTAACTTGGGAGGGACTAGAGAGCATTATGCAAAGTGAACTAACTCAGTTCCATAAGGACAAATACTTTATGAAACTATTATTGTAGAAATAGAAAGAAAACTAGTAAAAATGTATACGAAGATCTAAGAGGGGGGAGGGTAGTAGGAGAGGGATGATGATGGGCAAAAATCACATGATCACTCAGTTTGATAGATGGAGAGAGGTGGGTAATAGAAATAGGAAAGATCCAGCAGAGATGTGAAAATACAGGCATAGTCCAATGGTGATTAATTTTATAAAAGAAACCGAGTTGGAATGATTATATGAAACACAATGTGAATGAAGGATAGTGTGAAGCATTATGTATACAAAATTAGTAAGCAAATGAATAGAAAACAAAAAAGAAAAAATGGGAACAAGGCATAGACACCTATTTTATCATCACTGCTTCTACTTATTAGAAATCTTTGTAAGAACGATAAGACAAATGAAAACATACAAATTGAATGGAAAGTAGAAAGCTGTCTTTATTCTCAATAACCTCTGTTCATAGAAAAAAGAAATCTAGTACAGAGGTAATTCATGGTTGCTGTGATGCTGAACACTGTAACACTGATGTGTCAAATATGATAATGGTTACCCATGGTGGAGTATTTGGTGGAGCTCCCCACTTAAAACAAACTTGGAAGCAGGAGTAGCATCCACTTCTGTAACAGCTTGTCTCCAGAAGCCCTATGCACCTGGAGAAATGATTAAAGTTACACAAGTGTTTAGGTCTTTCATTCATAGGGTCGCTATAAGTCGTCTACAACTCAATGGCACTTAACAACAACAACAAGAAGTAGTAAATAACTACTACAATTTAGCATATAGTTATAGGAAGATAAAGGTCAAGATACAAAATCAACTTATTCTATACAGTATAAGCAAATAGCTGAAAATTTCTTAGAGAAATAATCCATCAATAGACATCACAAAGAGTATGAATTAATAAGCAAAAGAGAGTGATAAAAATTGCACTACATATGTCTGACAAAGAACTTTTGTCCAAAATATAGAAAGAGCTCAGACAAGTCAATAAAAATGGACAATTTTTAAACATAGTGAAAAAGTTTTACAAAGGAAAATATATAATAGACAAGCACAGGGGGAAAATATGTTCAGCACATCAGTGAAATGCACGTAAAAGTTTCACAAGATAGCTCCCACATACTGTTGTCAGGTAATGTTGAGTTTGCTTTGACCATAGTGATCCTACACACAACAGAATAAAATAATACACCCTGCTGTGCCTTCAATCACTACTACATTTGCAATATTTTTAAAGCTACTGCGTCAATCGGTCTTGTTGAGGACCTTCCTTTTTCTCATTGACCCTCCCCTTTAGCAACATGATGTCTTTCCCCAGGGACTGGCCCCTCCTGATAACATGTCCCAGGTATTTGAAACAAAGTCTTCCTTCTAAGAATCTTTCTGGCTCTATTTTTATCAAGGCAGATTCATTTGTACTTCTGGAATGCCATGATATATTTAATATTTTTCACTAATATTATAACTTGAATGCAACAATTCTTCAGTTTTCCTTATTCATTGACAAACTCTTACACGAATTGTAAGGTTTGGACCAAGAATTCTTTGGTCTTCAAAATAGTACTTTTACTTTTTAGTACTGTAAGGAGGTCTTTTACTGCAGATGGGTCCCCCCGACTTGAATCCTTCTGTCAGGAAGTATGCATCATACCATGTGAAGATGTGAAACATGTGGAGATGTCTGAAAATGTGAAATAACTGAAAATGTCGATTACATGCTCTTGTGGGAGTATAAAGAGATACAACAACTTTTGAAGCAAACCATTTCCTAGGAAACACACACACACGTATACAGGTAGATAATATTGATTTATATACAGGTATATTGAAAATACATATATTCAAGAATATAAATATATATGTAAATCATAGGTCCCAATAAAGACTTTCACAATAGTCAAGAGTATAATAAATAAAAAAAAAAGTCTGCTAACAAAGTGGCCTAGTGGCAAGAAGCAGTGTTACAATCCTGAAGGCATAGGATGAATCCACCAGATGCTCTGCAGGAGAAGGAGGGGCAATCTTCTCTTGTGCCTGTCAGATGCAATTTGATGGTACACAAGGGGGAAGGGGATCTATTAACAAGATTGTTGTTGTTGTTGTGTACCGTCGAGTCTGAACCGACCGATAGCTGACCTTCCGTCGGTTTTCAGAGGCAGTTACTCACATGGAAGTAGGCTGCCCAGCTTTCTCCCACAAAGCAGCTGGTGAATTTGAACTGTGTGCCTTTGCGGTTGCAGCACAGCTTTGCCACTAGGCCACCAGAGCTCCCTATTAACAGGATTAACAGGTTAATTGTAAAAATAAATTGCCACATATTCATACAATAGAACACTAACCAATAGGAACAAGGAGGAAACACGTGGTACATAAAATGAGTCTCAAACAGAGTATGTTACAGGAATGTAGCCAAACTATGGTTAATATATTGAGACTGTCTCAGGCAGGAGCCAACCAGCTGTGGGATATGGGATTGACCAGGAACAGGGATAAGGAAATTCCTGGTTTCACTGGAATGCTGTCTATTTTGATTAGTATAATGACTGCTGTCATTTACAGTCACAATGACCTCTCCCATTGGGTTTCCAAGACTGTGATCTTTACAAAAGCATAATCTCACACCTTTCTCCCAAAAAGTGGCTAGTGGTTTGAACTACTGACCTTTTACTTATAGTAGCCAAGCTAACTGGTGCAGGGGTTACAAAAGGATATAAACGTCTCAAACACATGGGATTATATATTCAAGATGTCTACATATACCTCAAAGGGAAAAAAATGCACAAGTAAATATTAAACTCTTGCTTCTCTGGCCCCACTCCCTAATCTGTATAGGTTAACGAAGAGTTCCTGGTTCACGGTGGTTAAGCTCTTGGCTACTAACCTAAAGGTCTGTGATTTGAACCCACTAACCTGCTCTACAGGAAAATGCTGTGGCAGTCAGCTTCCATGAAGAACAGCCTTGGAACACTTGTTGAGCAGTTCTGTCCTGTTCTGTTGGGTCACTATGAGTTGGAATTGACTCTACGGCAACAGGCTTATTTGGTTTGGGTAGGTTAGCAAATCTGAAAGTATCTCTGTCCCTCAGTTTGAACACATGACTACATTACATTGAGGATAATAGGAGCCAGGGTTAGTATCATTACTGGGTAGAGAAAAGTTATAACATATGGAAAAATGAAAGAAAAGAACAAGCCCAGTGGTGTTCAAGATAGAGGAAATGTTTTCAGTTTTAATATAGGTAGTACGCTAGCTTGATTAATAGTAAGAAAAAGGGGGGGGGGAAGGAGTGAGAAGGTAATAAGATAAAGCCTCATTTATGTAGAAGAAAGTACATTTATCTTCTTTCTGTCATACTGGATCTCAAAAGGCAAAATGTAAGGTAGAAACTTCTTAAGAAGATGCCTCACTGATGCAGGGCAGACTCCCATGAAAGGGGTCCTCCTTAAAAGTATATTGTGGGGCTCCCCCCTCAACAGTGTGACATATACTAATTAATCTCTAATCAGTGTTTCGTATTCCTGTGGAAAAGAGATTTGTAGAAAACAGAATGATAATAAAAAAGTCTTTATTATCCTGGCAATTTTTTGAAGGTTAATCACGAACAGATGAAAGCATTTATAGGTATATACTTAATAAACTGCCTCTGTCTGTCTTACCTGTCTTTACTGTTTGCTTGTTGATACGTAGGGCATGGAGGAGAAAAGCTACACTTTTAACAAAAAGAAAGGCTTTTCTTTTATCTTTTTGTTCTCAACCTTCTTTTATTTTTCAGTCTGTTTGTTGTTGTTGTTTTTAGGTGCTGTGCAGTTGAGCATGAATCATACCACCCTTAGGAACAACCGACGTGAACCCTGTCCAATCCTGTGCCACTCTCACTTCTGCAAGCTTAGTGCATTGCTGCAGTCATTATGAATTCTATGAACAAGAGAGGAACACTCTTTCTGTTTAGTTTCCCTGAAAAAAGAATGTCTTATCATTGTCGATGTCACTTGACCATATATGAGAAAATTAGTTTTTCAATACATTAATATAAGTAAATATTCCAATGTCAATCATTTTCCCTCTCAATTTATACTTATCAGATTCTTATTATGCCTCTTTCTCTTGCTCTGACTTTTGTTGTTGTTAGTACCCTATATCTCACTACAGAGATGCCAACGCAACCCAAGTGAAAACCCTTGGTCTATTTAACGACAATGAATTAAATAAATAGACAGGCATCATAATGTTAATCAGCTGTAAGTGTAAGGGTCCACTGGATTTTTCTGGAAGTAAGAGAGGTCCAGCCCTCTTTCAAATCATATCACTCTGGATCAATAGTAGGCTAAGCCAGACCACAAGAAGAAAGGTCAGGGGAGAAAAAAGCAAAGTTATCATCAAGTCAGCTCCAACGCATGAAGCCCTGAGGCACATCAAGACACTGTGCTCCACAGGGTTTTCAGTGGCTGGTTTTTCAGAAGCTGATTACAAAGCCTTTCTTCTGAGGCACCTCAAGGTGAACTTGAATCTCTTCTACTTAGTGGACAAACATACTTACCATTTGTACCCCCCAGAAACTACTGAATCAATCTGGTATGCATAAACCAGAGGATTAGGGTTTGTATGTGGAATTCTATGGACTCGTGTATTAAACCACTAAAGCAGTGGCTTCTGCCTGGCACTAGGCTGAAAGAGATATAACGAGGGAGGTCAGCACAGGAGAAACAGATAGAGCTCCTTACCATCCGCAGGCCTGAGCTCTGTGGGGGTCTGCTCCTCCTGGCTCCCCAGGCAGCTCTCTTTAAGACTTTCTATTTCCCTCCAGAAGTCCTCCATGGACACGCTGTCCACAGAGGCTTCTGAGTTGGAGCGGCTGAAGGCTGGAGGACGTAAAGTGTCATCGGAGAGCATTCTGTTACTTCTTTGGCAGCAAGGAATGGATTTTCTGAGGAAAGATGAAGATTTCTGCATGAAAATCAGGTCTTTTATTTTATCACACAACTAAGTGTAAATTTTAAAAGTAGAGAAATGGTAGGCTGTAAAGCCCTTTGATGATCACTCCACTTCTTCCCTTTTGTCTTTCGATTGTGATCTGAGTGAATATTTATAACACAAATCAGCTTTCCATTCAACCATCCATTTAAACACATTCTGGTTTTTTGTTTTTCTTTATTTTTTAAAATTTTGTTTTATTAATTTTCATTAACATTTACAGAGATTTTAGATTTTCATTCATTCATTGTTGCACTTTTTTCTTTACCCCCCTCCCCCCAGTTCACTCCTCTCCTTGAAAAGCAAAAGATAAACTTCTTTGTTGGTATGCAATCCCCCTGACCCCGATACCAAGCCCCCCACCCCAATGCACTCTGCTATGCAACCTTAATTCTAGATTCCTGTGATAATAAAAAATATGCTATCATATATCACTTTTAAACTGTTCTCTCCCTTATCTGTTTCAGTTCAGGGTACAGACACTATCCAGTTTTTCTCAGTCTTACCCCAACTCTGATGTCAGTCACTTTCTACAACAGTGGCACCATGCAGTATTTGTCCTTTTGTGACTGAGATATTTTACTCAGCAAAATGTCCTCCAGCGTCACCCATTTGAAATAATATTGCATGAGTTCCTTGTTTGTCAATGCAGCATAGTATTCCATTGTGTGAATAGACCACAACTTCTCTATCCATTCATTTGTTGGCAGGCACTTAGATTGTTTCCAACTCCTAGCTATTGTGAGTAAAGCCATAATGAATATGAGTGTGCATATATCTGCTTGGCTGCCAGTTATGGTCTCTTTAGGGTATATTCCCAGTAGTGGAATTGCAGGGTCAAATGGTATCTCTATTTGCAACTTTTTTTTAATAATTTTAATGAACATTTATAGAAAATTTGGATTTCCATTCATTCATTGCTGCACTTCTCTACCCGCCCAGCCCTCTCCCCCCGTCCCCCAGTTCGCTCCTCTCTTTCAAAAGTAAAAGAAAGACTCCTACCTACAAGGTCTCTGCACTCCTCCCAGGGCTTCCCTGGTGGATGTGCTGAGAAGTATGATGCTCTTGTGGCCTAGTGAGTGAGGAGTTGCACTGCCAAAACAAAGCCAAGTAGCTCAAACCTACCAGCTGCTCTGCAGAGAGAAAGAAATGAGCAATCACTTCCTATGAGATTTAGCCTCTGCTATCCTGCTGGGAAGGCAACTATGAGCCCGAACTGACTCCATGTCAATGAGCCACAGGAATGACATGAAATATTTTTATCATTTTCACACACATATGGTGGAAAGCTATTTGTATTGTTGCTGCACACCATGGAGTTGGAACTGACTCATAGCTGACCTCCAACAGGTTTTCAGAGGCAGAAAATGACATGGGAGGAAACTGTTCATCTTTTCCCAGCAGAGCAGATGTGAGTTTGAACTGTCTGCCTTTGGGTTGGTGACAAAACCCCTTACTACTATGCCACCAGTGCTCCCTGAATTAGTTCCTGTAATTTGTAGTAGTCATAACACGTATAGTACAAGTTTGTCTCTTTAATGTCAAAATGTGAAGGATTTGAAAATTGGCTACTAAAGTAAGGATTCTTTGGTTGTTGCTTTTAGGTGCTGTCAAGTTCCACTCATAATGACGCTATGATCAATTCTATGATCCCTGTCTTCTCCTTGGCCATCTTAATAATTTCTGACACAGGTGAGCTTATTGTTTCAGTCACTACATCAATCCACCTTGTTGAGAGATATTCTCTCTTTTGTTGACTCTCCACCGTTATGAGCATGGTGTCTGTCCTCTTCCAGGAAACAGCTTCTAGTAACATGTCCAAAATATGAGACATGAAGCTTCGCCATCCTGCACTTTTTCCAAGACATACTTGTTTGTTAATCTATGACATCAAGTTGAAGGCTACATTAGGCTGGGGAAGAGGGGAGAGGACCACAGTCAGTCCCAAAGGATGAGGTCACCATAAAGGACATCAGCTAAAGCCAGTCTAGGCTCCTTCTGTCACTACATCACAGCATCACTGTTACACCAGGGGTCAAAGAACAAGAAAAGGAGGCACTTAGTTCACAGGCTTGTAAAAGGACTACCACACACAAATGATTTAGGGCATAAAAATGCTCAATGTTACTTTTTTTTTTCTGTAAGAAATTTCCTTTACTAGCCAATTCTCTCTCTCTCCATCTACACAAGAAGGTATTTTCTCTCATGTAACTTATTTCTTAAAGAACCTTTTATGATATGATAGTGAAGTACATTAGTTGATTCAATGTTACTTTTTTTACAAAGGAGATACAATAGGGCAGAGAGAAGCTAAAATGCTAGAGTTCTGAGACATTTTTGCGACTTAAGTAGGATTCTACTTTTAATTATCCAAAAATGACTGGAGCAACACATCAACAGAGAACAGCTAGATGTGCAGGCTGAGTTTAGAAGAGGCGTAGTACTAGGGACATGATAGCTAATGTTAGATGGATCTTAGCAGAAAGCAGAGTACCACAGGAATATCTACCTGTGTTTCATTGACAATGCGAAGACTTTTGACGGTGTGGATCACAAGATGTGGCTGACTCTGAGAAGAATGGGAATCCCAGAACATTTGATTGTGTTTATATACTTGAACCTATACTTGAATCAATCAGGAAGCAGGTCTACCAGGGATATATTCTGTCTCCATACCTTTTCAATCTGTATGCAGAACAGATCATCCAGGACGCTGGGTTGTATGAGGACGAATGTGGCATCAGGATTGGTGGAAGATTCATCAATAACCTGTGTTATGCAGATGACACAACACTGCTTGCTGAAACTGAGGAGGACCTGAAGCGCTTGGTGTAGAAGGTCAAGTACTGCAGCCTTCAATATGGATTGAGGCGCAACATCAAGAAAACAAAGATTCTCACCACTGGACCAACTGGCAGCATCATTATGGATGGTGAAGAGATTGGGATAATTAACACCTTTAGTTTGCTTGGCTCCACACTCAACCCAGCAGCCAGGAAATCAAGAGACTAATTGGATTGGGAAAGTCAGCTGTCAGGGACCTCTCTAGAGACAAAAGTGCTCTTGATCCAGGCCATAGTTTTCACAATTACGTGCTATGCATTGGAGAGTTGGATAGTGACTACAGATGATAGAATTGATGTCTATGAGCTGTGGTGCTGGAGAAGAGTGTTGAATATACCATGGACTGCTAGGAGAACAAAGAGGTTTGTCCTCAAGAGGGTGAAACCTGGCTGCTCCTTGAAGGCAAGGATTCTGAAGCTTCATCTGACATACTCTGGGCATGTTGCAAGGAGGGACCAGTCCTTGGAGAGGAACATCATGTTTGGGAGAGTGGAAGGACAGCGCAAGAGAGGAAGACCCTCGATGAGATGGATCGATACAGTGATTGAAGTAATGGGAGTAGGTGTGTCAGAAACAGTGAGGTTGGAACAGGAAGTGTAGGGTTTAGGGCTCTTGTACATAGGGTCACTATGAGTCGCAAACAACTTGAATGCACATAACACCACCACAACAACATAAAAATAAAATACCTAAAATGTTCCACCATTAACATATGTTATATTTTTTTTAAAGCAGAACATTTGATTATCTTTGTCTTCCAACTGCGGAGAGTAACTGAATTTCGTTTTGTACTAAACATCTATTCTTTTTCCCACCTGGTTTTAAAATGTGGTATGGGTATGTAACTTCTTCAAAGAACCTTTGCCAAAACTTGTTTCTCCTTGACTTCAAGTGAACTTGAATCAAAAGGCTGAGACCATCACTGAGCTGATACACATCCAAGCTGCTTAACCCAAAACAAAAGCTTTCAAGTGGAAAGATGACAGCAGTGGCAGAGGAACAGCTAACCATGACCACTGTCACTCCCTAAGGACAGAGATGCATAGAACAGTGGGTTGGTATCAATTGTAGTAATATTTACAAGAAATATGAAAACACACCAGCATCTGTGAGTGCAGAAGTAAAGCAGCAATAAGGCTTCCATTAATGAGGAAAAATAAAATTGTCTGCTCATATTCTCCATACAGTTAGGAATCCTTCTAGATTTCCAAATAGTCTGTAACAGAAGTTTCTAGCATCTGATCCTTTCATGGGACCAGAGTGCAAGCAATTCTCTTAACTAATAGAGATTGTATCCGTTTACTTTCAAAATGTGAAGCATTTCAGGAGAATATGAAACATTTGCTTCTAGCTTTCAGTGCTACCTGGTGTGATAAAAAGAATTATAAGGCAGTTGTGTTTGATAATGTAGGGGTTTTCACTGGTATCTTTAGAATTTAACAAGTCAAACCTTTTGTACTGGTTGAAGCATGAAGTTATCACAGATATCATGATTTTATGAAATCTCACAATTATCAAGTAATAATATTTCCTTTATCATTTTTAAACTTTCAAGACACAAGATCAAGAATAAAATCCATCAACAAATAGCAAATGCATAGAGTATGCATGTAAATATCTACTTCTTATAAAATTAATGGCAATAGCTGTACTTCAATTATCACCACTAACACAGCCTATGGTCCTTCTGGTGCTATCTTCAGAGAAAGTGTATGAATACCCCAAAACTTTCTCTAACCCTGAACTTTTAAGGTGCATTTTTTAAAATAATAATCTTAACTTAAACATTTTACAATCTAAATGCCTGATGTGGATTAAATTTTGAAAATGAAAAATACCCCTTTTGTTTAAATCATAAACAACTACATGGAGGAAAAACACCTAAGGTATTCTTCCTCCTGTCTCATGTTGTTGTATAAATGGCTTTGGTTTTTTTCCCCACAAAACATATCATAGACGTTTTTCCATGCCAACATAGACACGGCTCTTCAACAGCTGCATTGAGAAGCATGATTTATCTTACAAATTAAGTAGGCATGCAGATAAACGCAAACACTGAAAATGTTTTAAGAGCTTAACAATTTGGAAAATAAATAATGAATTTTAGAA